ACTATTTTGTTAATTAACTAATTAATTAATTTGTTTCTAACGGTCTGTAATGAGGCCTGCGTTGCTAAGTGTCTGTAATGGAGGGGGCCTAGGAGGGGGAGGAGCCGCCAGAAATCGAACTTAAAACTTACACGCACTATTTTCTTCGAAAATATATGTGAGTTCCACAAAATATAGGACAACATCGAATAGTATTATGTAATGCCTAAATATGGCACTATTTCAAATTCTGGTGAATTAATAGTGTAATTAGAGTTGCTTTTTATTCAATTGAAAATAGTTTCTATTTAAAAATGTGACATATCAGATAATGATAATTAATGGTTTTGTGAATATTGAAGAGTTTGTTCGTGTTGAGACATTTTTTTTGTCGAAAGACTCCTTTCAAGATAATACAATAAAGAAATATTTTTTAAAAGTAGATCGTTTCGACCATAGAAATAATAAGAATGATAGAATAGTAATAAGTCCAAAAATTAAAAATAATCCACCCATTGATTTAATTTGTATGGCAGTCGATATTTCATATGAAATAGGACAAATCTTTTTTTGAAACCATTTTCGTCTTAACTGTTCAAGTTGACCTGATTCTCTTAATGATAAAATTTGAACATCTAAATCGTTCGCATACACCCATTTTTTTGGAATAATAATTCCATAACCTCCTTTACGAAAATCTTCTCCAATTAAAGTTAAATTACAATAAATATTATTTGTAAAATATTCCGCTATGGCAGAATCCAAGAACGCAACATCAATAATTCCTTCTAGTAAACTATCATATAATTCGTTTCGAGATTTTAATGGATAATAATCTCGACGACCAAAAGATATTTCTTTTAAATAATATTCTTCAATTGCTGTATCAACAAGAACACCAATACGATCAGATGGAATTTTTCCATCTTTGATATCATCAATTCCCGAAATAATATCTTTTGATTTTGATATTGTTAGATCAGATGTTAAATTTGCAGTATATGTCGCTAATAATATTAAACTTAACATATATAAACCAGCAGTTAATAAACGTCCAGCAACAGTATTAACGTTAAAATCAACACCATATCCAACAATATTACCAAAAGAATACCAAACACTCATTAGAAATTGAAATAATATGGATCGATTTTGTAATCTTTCGTTATCTTGTCTTTCAATAAGACAAAGTAAAAAAGCAGCATAGATACAAATACCAAAGACTAATAACCAAAGTTGACTTGAAAATGGCTTTAAAAATGATAAAGGATCAATATTAACATCAGGTATTCTTCGAGCTATAATTCCTACAGAAGTATCAAATATTACATTAGAAAAATCGACTAATTCTATTCGTGCAGCAGTAATTGTTACATCACCAATAATAATATCATAATCACCTTTAGCTACAGCTTCAACTGATTCTGAATAAGGTTGATTTGACTGTACTAGTTGAATATCTGAAACAAATCCTATTTTATTTTTTAAAAGTTCAATAAGATCACATATATAACCAGTGTATTTTGTTTTATTCTGCCCAAGATTATCAATATAATTTATTATTATTGTAAATGGAATCGATTCAATTATACCAATTCGTAAACGTTTACCTTTAAGTATTGCTCGATCAGTTGGAATTATTAATGAATTACCTGGCCAAACAATATT